ACACACACACACACACGCACGCATCTTTTGCGACTTGCGGCGACAGCGCGAAAGTCGACTTTTGTCAGGAGGCCTTCGATGCCGCCGCCGAGTTCCCCGAGCAGGCGACCCGAGAGAAGAGATAGCCGAGCGCGACAGAGAGAGAGAGAGAGAGAGCGCGGGGGGGGGATCCTGAGAAGCGGGGCGGCGTCTCCGCGTCTGAGCTACGAAGCGCTCGTGCTCTGAGGAGAAGTACCCCAGAGAGGCCCACACGGTGCTCTTGTCCTGCCTCAAGGCCAGCTCCGAGTCTCAGAGTTCGCCCCCAATGCCAAGCCTGGGCACCGTAGAAAGCGGGGAAAGGTGGCAGAAGCGGATCGGCCAGCTCCCAACTCAGACGCGACGATCTCCCTTCGCCGCCTCGGCCGCCGCCTCCGCTCTGTCCGAGGCTTTCCTGGATCTTGCGGAGGAGTTCGAGAAAGTGATCCGCCTCCAGGTTCGGTTCGAACGTGTCTGTGGGCCAGGGCCGCGGAAGCGAAGCCCTCAGTCAGGCCGACCGGGCAGCCGCCCCGGCGCAGTCCACCTCGGCGCCGGCATCGGCGAAGGCATCGCAGGCGCCAGAGCAGTGCGGCACAGGGCCACATCTGCAGGTGCAAGAATCTGCAAGAAGTTCAACATATCTTAACCTACCAAAACCAACTACTCCATGTTGGGGTTCATAATAAGAACCTACAAAAAAGTAGGTTTTGGTAGGTTAAGGTATATCGGTATGGGAGTCCCATTGTGGCCGTTGGTTTCTTTTGGCTCCGTAGGTGATCGAGCCGCTCCCGGCAGAGACCCCGGAGCCCGCGACGGAGCCGGAAAGAGAGGCACCCGGAACCCCCGTTTTCGCCCCGTGGCCTTAGGGTTTCGGGTTTCGGGTTTAGGGCCAGGGTTTAGGGGCTTCTGAGTTCTTTTTGCCCTGCATTTCATTGGAGGCCATGATAGGAAAAGGTGAAGACCCCTTCCACCCAGACCCCGGAGGCTTTAAAGTAAGCCGCCTATGTGCGAAGCTCCTGCCCCTGAAGTGGCTGATTGGTGTCCCTGCTTTGTGGGGAGGCCTCCTTGCCGCAGTGGTCGTGCCAGCCCCGGCACGTCTCTCTCTCTCTCTCTCTCACTCTCTCTCTCTCTCTCTCTCTCTCTCTCGCTCGGTGTCCAAAACTCGAGCATGAAAGCGAATGCTTCGAGGCAGATGTCCGAGCCTGGCCAGGCGCCGCTCCCCAGCGCACGCGCGCGCGCGCGCGCGAACGCGACACTCCGCGAGGCGGAGCCATTTTTCAGCTCAGGCCGAGCGATCGCCCTCGCCTTCCTCCCGGACGCCCTCCACGCAGGAGCGGCCCGAGCGGCGCGAGCGGCGAGCGGCGCGAGTCTTTGAGAGCCCGGGGACCTGTCGCTGCGAGGCGTCTCCCGCTAAGACCTTGCTGGGCCGGGAGACCGACGCCGGCGGGCGGCCAAAGTCGGGGCAGGGATCCGCGCGCTCAGTGGTCAGAGCAGCGGCGGGCGAGTGTTGGGCATGCCGAGGTGCGCCGCAGAAGTGGGCTGCGAAGGCCGGCTCCGCAGAAGCCCGACAAGTGTGACAGCTGATCCACCGGCGTCCTTCTGCGCAGGGGGTGGTCCAGGAGGAGGCGATCACCCCAGATCTCTAAGCAAAGCTGCAAGGCTATCTCAGAAACTGCCCCCCTGCCCCTGCCCCCGCCCCCGCCCCCGGCTTAGACGTAGTCATGGGCTGCACTCTCTGAGGTGATCACCTTGATCTCGCAGCAGAAGGCTGCTGTGCATTAAGACGTGTTCATTAGGAATGTGGCTAGAGGCTTGAACATCAGCTGAGAATTTGGACGGATGTATCGCGAAGCTGAGACAAGTGCGCGACGCCGTGCACCAGGGTGTGCATGGTCTGCTGCGTGTTCTATGACTTGGGGGATGTCAGGAGATGTTGGAGCTCCTGCACGCGGAGCTTACTGAGCTCCGCCAGACCAGGCCCATCTCAGTTTGCACCTCTCAACCGGGCTTCTTGTCTTAGAGCCTAAGGCGAATCTCTCACTCGAAAACTCCCCTGCGCGAGATGCTGATCCCACTGTGCGGAATCCTACAGATCGCACCGCGAGCGACAGCCAAGCCTCCTGCGGAGCTGAGGACCGACGACGGCGTCCGATCCCAAGTGACCGAAGAGATAGGGCCGCCTTTCTCCGACTCTGGAACCACGATGCTTCAGAAGGCCCCCATCAAGCCAGCCCACATGGAGCTGATGGCTGGAAGACCGGGGGTGCGTCCCCCAGAACGTTCCGAAGTTGACTTTGCAAGAGCCGAGCTTGCACAGACCTGGACACTCCGTACGCTGGTGGGCGGTGGCCCGAGCTAGAGAAAAAGGCCGAAGATGGCCGAAGATGATAGGAACATTATAGGGATGTGAGTCGAGTCATGTATGGAACTGGGGGAGCTACAGTAAGGACCTGGCCTGATGCGAAAGCAGGAGTTTGAGGACAAGGAGGAAGCGTCGGGGGACCCAAGCCGCCTCCGGCTGCCTCCGGCTGGCTGGCTGGATTCCTCGATCTTTTGGGGACTTGTGATCTTTCAGCATCTTCTCAGGTGGCAGGCGTTCGTCTACTGCGCGGATACTGCACGGGACCGAGCTCACACTTCTTTTCGGGCGGCTGCAGAGAAGACTCATGGTACTTTGCTGGTGGCTTCCTTGTTTCGCTCTCCCGAAGTCTCTGACCTCAGGTCCAACCCTGCCACCTTCTGGCAGGGTGCTCAGTGAGGTTCTTCAGTCCTCCTCCTTCTGCCTCCCGTCGCCTTCGCAGGATCCAACTGGCAACACGCGCGCCTCCTCCGGCTGGGTCGGCGCAGCTCCCTCAGAGGATCTCTGCACCCTTGTGGCCTTGAGGGCCTTGAGGGCTGTTGGATGCCGTTGGCCGTTCCCGGGCCCCGAGGCCAACCAGGTGGCTCGCGCCCAAGCGGCCGGAGAGCTCAGATGCAACGAGCAGCAGAGAGGTGTAGAGTGGGGGACTGGTGGGACTGGGCCTTTCCAGGCGATGAGCCCTCCACCTCAGCCTCGCTTTTCCCTGCCGATGGGCGTGCGGAGCCCGGTCGGGCTAGGCACCCACACAGGAGAAAGCCTGCAGAGCCCCAAGGCCCTGCGCTTCAATTCCTCAGTACCTTAGGAACATTTCTTTTGAGAGAGAGAAGTTTGTGCTTTGAATTCCGCAACTGCGGAGGCCACGACGCCGCCCCCTCCCGGCGTGGGTGTGCCGCTGGGCCTTCAGGGCCTCGGCGGCCTCGGCCCCGCGCTGCATGCGGCGGCGGCGGGGCCCCTCGGAGTGGTGGGACTTCCCACGGAGCCCAGGGTCCGCCAGGGTCTCGGCACGCCGGGTGTTTGGGCGGGGGAAGTCTTGTTGGGAAGTTGACTTCTTCCGCTGCCGAGGCTTCCTCTGCTGAGGCCTCAGGGACTCTGTCAGGGGCCTTCCAGCCCCCGCGTCAGCACTGCGCTTGCGCTGCCCTTCCAAGAGGGCGAGAGGCGCGTTTGTTTTCGGCGTTTTATGGAACCGCACAGCCCCAGCGTAATTACGGCTTAAAGCACGCCGCTGGGCTGGGCCGAAAGAAGGAGCTCTGTTAGAACAGTTTTGGCTTTGCTCCGGGCGCCAGCAAAGCTGGAGTCGGAAGTGCAGGGCTGGGTGACATGCCTCTCAATTGCAAGCGCAGGAGTACCTAGATGCAAGAACTACCCTACAACACTGGATGGCCTGTTGAAGTAACAACGTCACCTTCTCTGCACTTAGCTGGCGAAGCATAGGGTCCGTGGATGGCTATCTGGGTTCCAGAGGCTCGTCCAAATGTTGGCCACTTGCACACCTTCATGCCTCTCACTCCCTCTCGCACTCTCTCTTTCTCTCTCTTGTGACCTCGCTCCCACTCTCCCACTCTCTCTCTCTCTCTCCAGACCTCACTCTCTTTCTTTCTGTCACGAGCTCTGATGCAAGGCTGTTCACTTCTGTAGCCGCTTTACAAAGGGGCGAAGAAGCGCCGGAGAGCAGCCGAGGAGAGCCGCGCTTTCCGAGACGGTCTTTGGCAGCCGGGGAACCCTGGCTGGAAGCCTTCTCCTCTCCCCGAGGCGCCGGGGGCTTTCTGCTGTTGCTTTGCCTTTAAAGAAGCTCCTTTAAGGGCATCTCTTTTTTTCAGCCTCGCCGTCTTGTTTTTCGCCTCGTCTCTGTGTTCTAACCTCTTCAACCTCAAGGAGGTTAAAAGAAGATAACTGAAGATAACCCCCTCCTTCCAAGTCCGAGGTGACGGCAAGGGAAGGCCGCTGTTTCTGGGGCTGGGCACGTCCACAAGTTGGCGTCCTCCCCCGGAAGTCATCTGAACCGAGCGGTGCTCGAAAGTCGCAAAGGCCCAGTAAAGCTCTTGGAATCCATCCGAGGACCGTTTCCAGGGTCGCCGGGTAGTGGGCCGGGTGGGCCACAGGGTGGGATCACATTCGCCTGGTTTCGTTTCGGCTGACGGGCATGCGCTGCCGGCTCACAAATCTCTCAGCGCAGCTGCTATCCAGCATAACTGAACTCGCACGCTCTGCACACTGCATATACAATGTCCTACGCAATGCCTGCAACCTTAGGCATTGAGCAGCTTTCACCGCCAACTAGACATCCGCATTCTTACTACGCCACTGGCCGGGATGCCGCTGGACAAGTCGCGCATACAGGCAGGCTGCCGCTAGGAGAGCCCCTGCCAGTGCCAAGTGGCTTCATACAAAATATCATGCTCTCAAGCGAGCCTTATTAGCCCTGCAAGTCATGTCTGTCTGCGGCGAAATTTCCCCAGCAGCATTCAGGGCTTTGGCCACGACGGGGGCAAAAGCACAGAGAAGGACAGCTGGTTCGGCCAGGACTCCAAGGCAGGGTCTCTTCAGCAGAATCGGATGCCCCCATGACACAAAAAATGACTCTCCTAAACCCTAAACCCTAAACCGTCACCACCCTTCGAAGGAGTGGAAGTGTCCCAAGGGCCATGTCTTGACGCCGTGGTGTGCCAAGTGGGGCACTTACTCTTGTCTCCTTGTCTCGAGAGTCGTTCAGCTATGAATAGGCTATAAGATGTACTACGAACAAGACAAGGGAGCGACATGGCTCCGAAGTAGCAGCTTGTGGCGAAAGTCCTTGCGCTTTTTCCAAAGCTCGGCGATGGGTCCGAATGAGTTTGGCAAGCGTGGGCTCCGGGTGACTCGAGACGAGATGAGTCCTCGAGGAGTTCTAGGGGAAGGCCGATGTATGACAGCTGCAGCTGTGGATAGAGTGATGGGTGGTATTACGGTGGTGTAGTGTTCGTCATGACTCGCATCTTCGTCCTTCTTGCTATTTAGACTTTTAGACTCTGGTAAACTAGACTCCGAAACCCAGCTGCCGACATCCCTCGAGGCTTTTTTGATCATAGGTTTTCTCGAAGGATGATCCGGGGGCCTTTTGCCGCCCGAGGCCGGGCTGGTGCGATGGCTGCGGTTCGAAGATCAACACCGGAGACCCCGCCCGGTCCCCGTTTTCACGCCTCAGCAAGAGACCCTTTAGTTGCGTTGCTCTCTTATAGACAGGTCATGGACTGCAGGCAGTGCAACTACTACCTCTGCAGGACATGGGAATTTTGGATAGTGTAGGGGCAGCGAGCATGCGTGGAGCAGGCAAGCTTGTGCACTGTCTTGTGCATGTTGCACCTGCATGCGTGCTGATGCGCCTTGTGCTTCTTTAGTTCCCAACGGTAGTCTGCTTCGGTGTCTGCCTGTGCATCACCGCGTTTGTGTCTCCATGTAAATATCTACTGTAACATCAGGTACTGTATATATTGTATAAGCATACACACATACATGGCGCAGACATAATTAACATCATATGATCGTATTTATGTTGTAATATACGGTTATATGATACTAGTTTTATATTTTTCCATATTGTATTAAGTGTATTGTGCTGTATTTTGTTATATTGCCTTATCTTATCTTATACTCTTGTAGATTTTATCATGTCAGAGTAGATTATATGACATTAGGATATATAGCATACATGTTATATCATGTTATCGTATATTTTATCTTTTTATACTATTCTATTCTAAAAGATTATATTATGTTATATACGCGCATGCACACACACAGGCCAGCCCGCCTACCTAGCTATGCCTACATACTATGAGTCTTTGTGCATGTGCATGCGTGTGTATATGTGTGTATATATATATATATGTATATCTATATCTATATCTATATCTATATCTATATCTATATCTATATCTATATCTATATCTATATCTATATCTATATCTATACCTATATCTATGTCTATATCTATATCTATACCTATATCTATATCTATATCTATATCTATATCTATATCTATATCTATATCTATGTCTATATCTATATCTTTATCTATATCTATATCT